TATATATATATATATCAAAGAAATATTATTTGGTCAATGTTGAATGTCCTTGATAAAGAATATTTTTCGAACCATTTCCTGATACCAAATATCATATTTCTAATTTTGAAGGAGCTAGCAATGTTGCTTAAGATAGGAAAGAGTTGTTTAACAAGAGTCACTAATTCTTATATGGTGTTAATGAAATAACATTTGGAGTTTTGAATAAAAATTGGATTATTTTGTGAGATATGCCTACTTATCTACTCAGCAAACAAGTACAAATTGAAGTCACTACATTGGCTCTTTACAACTACATTCGATAGCATTCTTCACATAGTGACATTGACTTCAATAGGGCGGATGAAGATCATTCACATATCCTTGCTGAAACATATGAAGATAGCCTAGGGAAATCAATATCATTTGGTCAAAACTGATTTGTCTAAGCCTTTTACCCAGGAAGGGGAAGTTGCAAGAGAGATAATAAAGTTGAGAAAGCAAATTACAGATTCATATTTTGCGAGTGAAAGGATGTTGTATTTTTTTTATTTCTTTATTTGCAATGTATTGTGAAAACGCTTAATGTTTAATGTATGCAATGGTATATATATTAAATCTCAATTTAGTTTAACTTTTACTTTCAGTTCTTTTTCATTTATTTTTTTCCCGCATAAATGGCATATGATGCAACCGTGAGCATAATAATATTTTTGTGTTTATTTATTGAAAGTTTTATTTTTTGTTTGGAGGTCTATGATGAGATATTTGACCTTATGGGTTCTTCTAGATGGCTTACATGTTATGAGTTCTTGACACGACTGAAATCGCTATCAATACAAACTAAGTATTCCTCCATTTTCAATCGTACGACAGTTGGAGTTCTTCTAAATGACCTTTGCGGTGATATACATCTATGACACAAACGAGTTTGATGTTACGCTATTTAAGGACAACCACGAACCATTTTTTTTAAGGTCTACTGTCTCCTTGTATTGACAGATTATTCTTTAGTTTATACTTTATGCTCTAAGACCTCACAACTTATAAAACCATAATTAAGTATTTCTATTATTAATCTTTACTAATGTTGCATCTAAGGGTCTGTGTCTTATGATTTTAATATATCATAAAAGATGAATTCGAAGACTTTCTATGTCTCCAGAGTATTGTACTGTTTCTGTGGACTCTGCTTACTTCTCGCAAGAGCATAACTATTGCAAACAATTTTGCAGGTGTCCAAGAAATAGATCAAAGAACTAACTTCTTAAGATATGTGTAGAACAATTTGATGATTGCACTGATGATAGTGATCTGGTGTTGATAGTTTCGTTAGAGGGATTGTCTTGTTTAATTGATCACATTTTTAAAACAATATTATGATTAATAGTTTTATTATAATTTTGATTGTTGTGTTACTATTTATTTTAATAGTTTTTATTATGTAACATTCAAACTGGATATATGTTTTTATATATAATATACACAATCATAATTGATTCTGTTAAAAACAATGTTATACTACGAGATCAGAAAATTCATTAGTAATAAATAGTTGCAGCATATCTATTGCAAAACTTTACAAAATAAACAGACACGCAACTTTCACGCTGCAGCTTCTGCACAACAACTTTCTTGCCACGCAAGAACTTTTTATTAAGTTGCAACGACCCCAAACAAACCTTAAACCTTCTTCCCTTGCTAAAATCTAAATTCATCATAACTGTAAATAAAAACAACAAGATTATCATAAATAAAAAATAAAATAAAATAAAACAAAAGAACAACAAATTTAACGTAGGCTTAACATTCAAGCAAATTGATTTACTTTGAAGAGGTCATTTACAAATTCGAAGATGATAGTATTCACAAGTCAGCACCACATGTATTATATCTGAGATTACACCCACCACAAAAATATTAGTACGAAAAATGCTCAAAATAAATTACAATGCAACAGCATCAACGACCCCAAAGCTACAAGAGAAAATGGAAAATAAATCTACAGTTGAGGAAGACAAGGACGATTGGGAATTATTTCTATGTCTGCAACATATTCATTTGCATTTATTTCACTGTTGTATTAATTATTTGCTGACATGTATAATTTTATAAATTATGATTTCATTTAACATCATATTTTCTATTTATTCAATGTTATTATGATATTTTATGGACATAAGTATCAATTATTTAATTTTGCTATTGTAGTATGTAAAATTTTTATGTTTACAGTCCTTATTTATTTATTTATTTACTTATTTATTGTTACAGACTTTCGGTATCTTTACGTCTGATTTTTCAATAGCTAATTAATTACTGGCTGATTACCGTTATATTTGTGCCTAATTTTTAATCGATTCTCAACCAGTAAATTTGCCAACAGAAAAATTGATCGGTAAAATTTACTGACTAAAAAATCAGAAATCAGCCAAAAACTCTTTCCCGCTGAAAAAAACAATCAGTGATATTTTACCGACAATGTTTTTTACCGGATGACCAAATTTAGCCAGAAATCGACCAATAATCTGCGTTACCAGATAAAAAATCAATGATAACTTACTGATTTTTCAGCCGGTCATTACTGAATTTTCTATAATGAAAAAGCTCAAAATCAAGTCACTGTTCAGTTTTATTTATAAATTTATTTTAAATTTTATATGAAAAATAAGAATAAGGAAATTCTACAAAGAATTGCTAAAATGTAAAATCATAATAACCGTAAACAAAAGCAACGAGGTTATCAAAAATAATAATAAATAAATAAATAAATAACAAAAGAACAACAAATTTAACCAAGGCTTAACTTTCAGGCAAATTGATTTACTTTGATGCGTTCATTTACAAATTCGAAGATGATAGTATTAAAAGTAAAAGAAAATATTACATTTGGATTCCAGACGCTATTTCCGTTCGGAGTCCAATGGTAGGGCGTCACGTTTTAAGTAAGCCCCACTGCAATATATTGGCCGTAGAGCTCATTTGACATGTGGCGCCCCACTATTGGACTCCAAATATATGTAATATTTTTCCCACAAATAAACCCTACATATATTATAATCTGATATCCCCACAAGAATTTTAGTACCATTAATGCTGCAACATAAATTATATCAATGCAACAACATCCAAAAGCTACGAGAGTATTTAAAATAAATCTAATAAAAGAATTCTATGTGGATGGGACACCTTCTACAGTAGAGAAAAATCATCTAAACTGTTAATCATAAGCGATCAATAGGGGTGAAAGGCACAGCCTTACTTCTAGAAACCCAGTATCCAACAAAGACTGAAAGGCAGAAGGCCATCACTGACAGAAGCAAAGAAAAGGCAGTAGCTGCATCCCACGAGCTTTTTGATGAAGTCATGTAAGAAGAGGAAGAAGGCGCTGTTATGTCCAATGGCAACCAATCACAGCTAGCAGAATAGTGTTGATTCTTGATCCATGGTTTCCCTCCAGTTGGATACCAGAAAGCACCAGCCACCCTGCTCGTCTCTCCAATAATAAACTGCACATCCTGAAAATTTTTAATCACAGTAGCTTGGTATTACTATACTGAAATAGCTATATCTATATTGGAGAAAAAACCTGAGTTGGAAAAGTAAATACAGTACATATCTCCTAAATATAAAGAATGAAGTCGGAAAAAACAATTTTAGAGCTGTATTAGCTTAGAGCTTTATTATTAAGGTTGAAGATGGTTGAATAATTGTAATTAATGAATAAAATTGATGAAATTACTAAGACAGTTTTCCACCACCAATAATAGCATGGAAGTGTGACAGCAAAATTAGATTTTGATAAATTACCTAATGAATGTATTTTTAGGATTTTTTTTTTTAAATGTGTTTTTAATAATTCGGATGGAATACAGAAAAAATGCCATTTATATACATACCAGCTAAGCATGCGTCGGTGTTAGTCACATAGTAAATCTAACACAATATACCATATTGAACCAATTTATTTGAAAAATGGGTTAACCTGTTGAGAACGGTCCATTGTCCTTAGAGGTCTTGTAAATTCGAAATAATATGTGCCCTTCACGCCATCTTTGGAATAAGGGCTATCATCTTCAACCAGCCCTGAAATATTTTTTATTCAAACATTGAACCATAAAAAAAAAAAAAAAATCAGGAGATGCAGAGACTCAACAAATTGCAGTTTTCAATCAGGAAACCAGGGGAAATGGACGTGCACTCATAACACCAAGGAAATTCAGCTTGGGATGATTCATGAAGCAGGTTGATGTATGTTAAAACTACAATGGGAGATAAAATTCAAAGGGGAAAGCAAATGACGCTCTCAAAGATCACTCCAAGGAAGAGGGTGAGGAAAGCTAATAAAAAAACTAACAATAAGGATTGCAAGTTAAAAAGCGTCTTTTATTGTGACAAATCATTTAAAAAGTTATTTTTATCCTACTTAGGAATTCACCATGTTATCCAGCTTGATATTTCTCACTGAATCAAGAAAAGGTATTTTTCTAAATATCCCAAAGATACTGACTACAAAAGCTCACATGAGTTCTTGAATTCTTTATGAGAACATAAGCTCACCGCAAGCAATATCTAATATAAAATAGTTCAAAAGCTGGTAGGTTCTGCATGTATATATGCCCTAAATATGCCTGCATTGTTGCATGCTATGTTCATCAATGATTGAAAATCAGTTTTAACGAACATCTCGCCCCCACAAGAAGGGTAGTGCTTTCAGATTGTGCAATAGGATGCCAAAATAGGGCAGGGTTACAGTAGTAATGAGCTAAAACATATATAAGGGAAAAATACCTGAATGGATAGTGATCATACTATGCCACCATGCCCCTTGCCAGTCGTTTTGTGAATAAGAACTGTTTCCTGAGACATTTTTGTGATAAAGGTGCATACATAGTGAGCACATAAACCCAAAATAGTTGTCAAAAAACACATCATTAGCATTGATGGTTCATCTTTATTAAGCCCTTTACATCCATTTAAGTTAACTCAATTTTATTCAAGCCTTTTCGATGGGCGATAAGCAATGTATCCTTTCATAAGCACTTCTTTCTTTCTAATAGTTACAGTCATTTTAGCTCCCAACTTCATGGTACACCTTAGGGTCCCCATGGAATAAGCCAAAATAGGCAAAGCTATTTCATACTAGAGTGCAGATAAATATGCAGAAATACAAATAAAAAATTTCACATACTCATTACTAAAGTTTATTTGCATTTTGAAAATAAAATACAAAGCCTGCCTTTCAATCATTCGCAATTTTCTGGGAGGTATATTTTAGATTTAGCTAACAACACTTTTAATACGATATTTTCAGTAACTGCAACTTTCATAATATCAAATATAATAATTTCTCAATGTAACATCCAAATTGTAAAACGCATCTACAAATACTTTTCTTTTTAAACATCTTAGAGTCTCGGATTTATACAGCATAAGCGATAAAATGCAAAGCTAGATGATAGAGTCTTAAATCTATGGGCTGTTGTATAGCTAAATGCCAAAATAAACAGGCTAACAAGTAGTGTAACATTGTAACAGACGACCAAATAGAAATGGTTCTAATCATTTTTATAAATCCCTAAGGATGACGATAGAAATCACAGTTACGAAAGCAAAACTGTTGAAATTAAATTTATAGGTGCTACAAACAATAGAGGAGGGGAAGGCATAATAAAATATCGCTCCCTCAAATTTAGGCAGGCTTAAAGTAGCCCTAATTTAAAGCATTTTAAGCATAAAGATTTGACTGAAAAATATAATAATTTGAGAAATCAAATGATAAATTATCATTTCCTCCTTCCTCAATTTTAGATGGAGAAATTAGACCATGAAAAATTTGTTCTTTTTTAGTCAAAAAGGGCATGGCTGACCTAGGTAAGCCAATAAGGATCCAATCGAGACGGAGGAGGAATTGTATTCAAGATGTCTTTAGGATCCTAGCCTAGCTAAGCAAGAGGAAAAAGCCCTAGCAAAAGTAAAATTCTCTTTTTATTGGCTAGTTGAAGTTAAGGTAGGTCTCCATCCCAAAAGTTCAAATAGATCAACCAAATTGTAACAGAAAGGCTAACTAAAGGTCACACATTTAAGATGTTGGATTATTAAAAAAAATACAATTATAAGAAAAACAATGTTGCTATTCTAAAAATGGTACATAGCTTTAAATCTTAACAAGATCAATACAAATGCAATAGGAGGTTAAAATCTCTTAGTATAGTATAGAAGAAATGAAAGATCATCAGATCGATGAATGAAACCATGAAAAGATTACAAGGTCGCTGCTAAAATAGTAATCTAGTAGTAGAATGTTTTTGTTCTATAATGAGTGTTGATTCAACATGACCAATGATGCCGGACAAAAAAATTGAGGATTCATAAATTACAAGTTACTATTAAATCAGACAACTTTCTACAAGCAAAATTCGAAGACAGTCAAAGATTTGCTCAAGAATACCTAAGAATTTAAAGAAAAATCTGAAATAAATAAAATCACGCAAATTAAATTAATTTTCACAAATCAAACTTATGGAGTGCACTTTTTATAAATATTAAATGAACTAAAAAAGTCAATAGAAGATAATGAGATGAAATAGAATAAGAAATGGGATTGAGAAAAATTTGAGTTTCACATTGGCAAAAGGAGATGAATTGACCCAAAATTAGCCGTCACACTTGTACTATACTCAAAAGAAGCACATATTCAATTTGCACATATAAGCTAAAAGCTGGAAAGAATTTTTGTTAAAATCATAAGTTTAGAATTAAATGCTTGAAATCATTATATGTAGACTTCTCACAGCCTAGATTAGTGGATAAGGTTGGCACAGGATCAATATAAATTTAAGTGGAAGTAATTCTAATAAAAAAAAATTCCAAATAAACCTATTCAACTTCCAAAACAAAATGTAATCTTTATGACAAACCAACATAATTCCACACAAACATAAACTTAGCGTGCACCATAATTAATTCCTACCAAGCTTTCAATAAAAATAAAGATTTCAATGAACTGAACAATTCACGCAATCAACTAAACTATGTTCGCCATCAAAGTTGTACTTAACCTAAATGTTCTTCCAAACTCTCCCACTATGAAAATGTTGAAATTAGCGCCTGATGTTTATATCGGATTGTTCCGACTCAAATATTAGCATCGATTTTGGGTCAAAAACTGGGATTCGATATTTACGTTGGATTTTGTGTCTGATTTGCGGCAAAACATTTGACGCAAAAGCTAAACTCAAAACGTCGAACTGAGAAGTTGGATTGCGACAAAATTTGCATCAAACTTACTTCGAAGAAGTCGATACAAACATGTACTAAATTGCGTTGAATTATGTTTGATGCAAATTCCGTCACAAACTCTGCGGTTAGATAATTGTATCAAAATAATCTGACACAAATCTGACGCTAATGCCTAATATACATTTCCCACTCCTCAAGCCTCATTTCTTCTCCCCCAATCCTGAAACCCTCGTTTACAACTTCCCCTCTCCGGGTTTCGGCCACCTCCGATGAAACCCTCGTTTACGACCTCCCCCTTACCCTGTTTCGCCCATATCCGACGAAACGCTTGCTTATTTCCTCCCCCACCTGGTTTCTCTCAAAACCCTTGCTACGTGAACCAACCTTCACGATGCAGTCGTCGTTGGAGCTAGATAGGAAGACAGACGGGATCGTGGCTTACAGAAACCACCGAAACCCTCATATTTGTCTCCTACCAAAAACCATTGAGGAAGGTGTCTTTTTCAATGATGATATTTTTTATCTGATAATGAATGATCAAATTATTAAAAGTAGTGAACGTTTTACATATGTTGAGTTAATTGTTCAAAGTGACGGTGATATAGATGAAAATGTTATTAGTGGAACTCAAGTTGGATGGAAATATTTGGGATTTGTAAATTTTCACTTCTCTTCCTTTTGATATACTTGAGCTTTACATATCAAGACAATCGTTATTACTGAATGTTAAGCATTAAGGCATTTAGATGGCAGATTAACTCCACCATGCTTAGTCATTCTAAATTTTGAAGGAGTCTGAACTTTTGAGTTCAAAAGTTGTCCTCAAACTTCTTTTAGGAAAATAGGCTTTCTGAAGGCCGGTGTGCAAACAATTCTTAAAAATGGATGAACTTCAACTAAGTTCATGTGTTGTTGTATTATATGTATCGTTGAAAAAAAAAAACTTAGACATCATTAGAAGTTTGAATTAAAGCCTCTAATATGAAGTTTGGGAAGACATGCATACAAATAATTTTTTATTTTAATTTATCTTTCTTTTAATACCACAATAACCTAGTCAAATATGTTTTCTTTATTGATATTGAATTAGTGCATTGTTTGAAAAAAATGTCCGCTGTGTTTAGTTAAGCAAATGTAGGTGGTGAGCTACTGTTAGCTAATACACTTAATTAGATGCAGTGAATAACGTTGGAAGGCTGCAAATAGTTATTGTTCAAGCTATATTTTATGTTCTACACCAAGTAGTCTAAGAGGTATCTATGGATGTTTGCTTCAGTATTGAAGGCAGAGGTCCAAATGACATTGTTGAATCTGAACAAAAATTTGTGTCTGAATTCAAATTTTTTGTGGATTTCATATATAGGTGAGAGAGAATGGAAAAGATGAAAGTAGGAAAGTTTTTATGTATTTTTAATTTATGAAATATTTGAAATTATATTAAGGGTGTAGATGTATATTTTTGATAATTTAGATTAGTCTTTGTTACATCATGTTATTTTTCATTGTTGGTATTCGTTTGTGATATAATTTTACTTCTTATTGTGATCGTTGGTATTATTTTTATTTGTGTACAGGTTGTAGGAATCAAAAAGTTCTTTTAATAATTTTTTTTTTCAGTTATATGTTTGTGCCGAATTAACGTTGACTTTTTCGACAATAAATCGACTCAAATTTGCGTCTGACAATTTCTCACGCAAAATCCGAAGGTAATTTTTATGGCGTAATTCAGGGATGATAAGTTACCAATAATTTTTTAAACGAAAATAAAACTATCGACCCTTGTTTTACAATCTGTGTACATTCCGAGGCAAATTGAACAAATCCACCGAATTTTCATTGCATTTGCCTGTCGCAAAATTACTTCATTCTTGTAGTGTCCTTTTCTGGCATCAACTTCTTAGAATACCATGTCGGTTTCCAAGAGCTTCCTATTCTTGTGTTGAGTGTAGAACCTCTTTCTGTACATTGCCTATAGCTCATAGATAACAACTTCAAAAATATTCCGAGTCGCCTCTAATAGTAACTATTTATTTGCCTCCCAGGAACTTGATAGCTACATGATAAGTCGAGACCATCACTTCCCGGCAAGAATGGCATTGTATGTTGCTAGAGAATCAAACATGACAAAGTCAGGTCACAGTTGTGAAATGCTCACCTCCTTCTCCCCAAGTGGTTGGCAATGCTATAGCTCTAAAAGTTTCCTTTCAGACACCAAATAAACCAAATAATGGGCTTGATGTGGGAACAAGGTGTGAAGTCCCCAAACTCATATTATATATATATATATATATAATATATATATAATATGAGTTTGGGGACTTCACACCTTGTTCCCACGCCCATTATCTAGACAAAATATTTACTGAAATTCCAATGACTAAAAAAATGCTATCAATTTTTTAATTTGCGATCAATGTCATGACCACAGCAGCATCATTATACGTGTTCGCTTTGGCAGAGATCAACATTCATGAAGATAATGAGTGGTTGGCTAGCTATCGATGGTTAAGAAACTATGGTCAAGTTCACCTCATTTAGCCAAAGTATTTTGAAGCTTGATTGGTGGGAAACTTTTGGACCGTCTCATCCAAAGATGGTTGGGACTACACCTACGATGC